AAACAAACAAACAAACAACAAACAACAAACAAACAAACAACAAACAAACAACAAACAACCAAACAAACAACAAACAACAAACAACCAAACAAACAACAAACAACAAACAACCAAACAAACAACAAACAAACAACAAACAAACAACAAACAACAAACAACTAAACAAACAACAAACAACAAACAACCAAACAAACAACAAACAAACAACAAACAACAAACAAACAAACAAACAAACAAACAACAAACAACAAACAAACAAACAACAAACAACAAACAAACAACAAACAACAAACAACCAAACAAACAACAAACAACAAACAACAAACAAACAACAAACAAACAAACAACCAAACAAACAACAAACAACAAACAAACAAACAAACAACAAACAACAAACAAACAAACAACAAACAACAAACAAACAACAAACAACAAACAACCAAACAAACAACAAACAACAAACAACAAACAAACAACAAACAACAAACAACCAAACAAACAACAAACAACAAACAAACAAACAAACAACAAACAAACAACAAACAACAAACAAACAACAAACAAACAACCAAACAACCAAACAAACAACAAACAACAAATAACAAACAAACAAATATCAAACAACAAACAAACAAATAACCAAGCAAGAAACAAACACACAAACAAATATTCTTACATTTCCCCAGCAGAGCCCGAGGACACAGAGACACTGCTGGAACATGAGCAGCTTCTTGTTGTCCCCGAACTCACATCCGCGAAGCAACATCCGCCCACGGCTTTCAAAGATAGCTCCGCGATGCAACAGCATAAGTCCTCGGCGCTAAAAGACAACACAGCAAAGCAGTATCCACACACAGCCTCTGAAGACAGTTTTGCGAAGCATCAGCTATCCGCGGTCCCCGAGGTAGGATCTATGAAGGAACATTCACCGACAAAAGATGAATCATCGAAGGAACGTGTATCCACAGGCCTAGTGTCTCGAGACAAATCCGCGAAGCAACACTCATCCAAAGTCTCTCAAGACAACTCCGCGAAGCAACTGTTCGTGGTGGACAGCTCTACCAGACCGTCTGCCCCTCAAAGTACGTCGCCTTTTATTATTATCATTGTCATTAGTCTTATCAGTAGTAGTAGTAGTAGTAGTAGTAGTAGTAGTAGTAGTAGTAGTAGTAGTAGTAGTAGTAGTAGTAATAGTAGTAGTAGCATTATTAATATTACCATCATTATCATTATCGCCGTGTCTCTTTTATGTTGCCAAGCGTCCTTTTGAGTTTTTGAAATGTGCATCATAATGTTAGTTATACCAAACGAATTTGACAGTTTTGCTTCTCTTATTTGAGTCAAAACAAAAGACAGAAAAATGTTTGCTGCTATGAATAGATGATGGTGCACTCAGTTCTCTGCCTTCTGACAATCTATTTTGTGCCAGTAAGACATCTAGATTTTTTTTTTTACATAACACAAAGAAACGGAACACAGTCATTTACAAAGATCGCTTAATACAGCCTTCTGGATCGTTTTTCAGGTATATGTTCGTCAGAAGTATTTGCGGAAAAAAAACTTACCTCATCTCTCTGAGAGAGCTGTGGATGCCTTCTGCCAGTCATATTGC